ATGCTTACCGTTTATTAAAGGAAAGTATCCTGAAATGCAAAGAATTCAAGTTCCTGGATCGGCGGACAGAAGCAGTTTCTCTTCTCGCAAGTGAAGTAGATCTTTTTAAGGCGGTATTTTTCAAAGGCACAAAAGGGGGACGTCACAACAATGTGATTGGTCACTTGCAATGTTGAACCTGGAACAACATTTATTATGATGATGTGGGAACAACACCGACACGAGGATATCAGATCATCCACTGCTTCACCATACTGTGGCCCAATATTAAGAATTAATTTGATTGAATCCAGTTTTACTTATCTGGCACCAAATCACAGCAACAGTCACCTCAAGGCACTTTAAATTGTAAGCTAAAGACCCTACAGTAATACAGAGAAAACCCCAACAATCAGACAACACCCCCTGCGAGCAAGTATTTTGTGACAGTGGGAAGGACGAACCCCCTTTTAACAGGAATAAAACTCCAATAGAACCAGGTTTAGGGAGGGGCAGTCATCTTGCATTATAATACATCTATTACAGATGTGCCCCAGCTGCTGGACTTGAAGCAGATTTTAAATAAATATGACCAGAATGACTATTTGGCGAGCAGCTCCCCAGATGTCTGTGTGTGTATCCATGTCTGCAATGAAGATTAAGGCATTAGGGATGAGAGGGGCTAAGGCTAGCTAGGGAATTATTAACTAGTACATTGGCTGATGACCAAAATAAAACAAGACCATACATAAAGACGCTCATATATCATCATATTTCACCAGATATACTTTGGTGCGGTCCGTGTTGGAGGTCCTGGGCCAGACATCTCCTTTGAGAGTCAGCAAGGGTAAAATGGCACTGGCACATTACTTGTGTAACGCACATCACTGTTGCTGGTGTAAACTTCTACACACCCTCACTCTTGGCATCTTGACAAGTTTCCCTTTTTGAACCAGCTGGTATTGGTGGCATATTTATTAGGTCTAATCCTGTTGTTTATAATCGTGGAGAGTCACAGCAGGTATGAGAAATTTTTGTCTTTGTCCTTTGGGAAGTCATTAATCTCAAATTCATCTCTGTCATCCAAATTGGCTTTCCGACAATGCGTACATCCCTTCAGTGTGTGTACTAGCTGTAAGTTGGTACCACATGAAAGTCTTCTACCAATTTTCTTCTGGTTTGAAATACAAGATAATTTGCTGCAGTTTTTACTCACATTGATTAGGATACTTAACCTTTCCAAATACAGCAGGGCTTTAGTTGCTCATTACGACATATTAGTTCTGCTTTATTCAGCACTTGGTATTTTGTTTTAAAGAGCAGCCAGCAGACTGCAGAGTGTAATTGAGTTCATAAGAGGTGTGTAATGAAGCCACTGGATTCTCTCTCAATGGAATTAACAAAGACAAGCCTACTTGACTCTTAACTAATCAACCATTAAACAGAATAATGTCACACATATGGATGGATGTTAAGTTAAACAACAAAAATAAGTTGAGAGTGACATTAATGGGACTTGTCAACTATGGTTGAGTTTCTGGGTTTTGTCATTCTGTACATATTGTTCTTTAAGTAAAAAAAGACAACAAACAGAGCTTAATAAAGATGTATTTGACATGGAAAATCTAATCAAAGCAGTTGGGTAAAAACAATGCTGAATGCTCACACCTGCTGTTATACTTGGAGACTGTTCTGGAGGAAACACAAAGGCAACAATGGTGTCTGTGTTTTTGGGTGTGGCCCATCTTTTTTTTAGCTCATTTTTGGGGAACCAACAGAAGGGAAGATCAAGGATTTAAGTCTGTTTAATGTCCCTGTTTCGAAACTGCTTTTAATTATTTGCCAGCTCATTGTGTTTATTGATAAAGCAGCAAACACAACTGTGCCTCTCTGGGTATTCTCCAGGTATTATTTGGTACTGAAATGTATGTATCTATATAATATTGTAATATGTATAATATCTTTAAAACTAGCACCCCGAAACACATCATTTGTTAGCATTTTGTATTCAAATAATTGAAAAATATCAAAGGTAATGGAGTTTGACAGTAAAAAAGTGTATGTATTAGCTGAAAACTTGGCATATTCTGACAGTGGGTGTAGTGTGTCCTGGTAAAGGTGTTAAGTCGAGTCAGGGATTGGCCTCCTCAGAGCCCAGACCTCAACATTGTTAAAATAGTTTTGACAGAGAACAAACAGCCATCATCCAAAGAAGAGTGTTAAATGCATGAAGAACTATTCCTGAACACTGCTTAAAAAAGTATATAAGAAAGCTTATCTAAGATAGTCATACCAAACATTGACTTTCAAGCTTGCTAGAATTGTTCAAAAAAAAGTTTTTGCCTTATTTGCTGCACATTTTGATAGATCCTTGCACCTGTTTCTCATTTTCCTAGTAAAATGAAAAGAAATGAGGAACGGCTCAAGGCTCAGTATTTTCGAATATTGTTCGACCTCAGTTTTATGTATCTTAATGAAAAGATGATAAAGCAACCTGGCCTGATGCACAAAATTCATCTAGCACAGTTCAATTTAGCCCCAATAAGTAGAAAACATTTCATTAAATGAAATACATTAGGTCAGTTTTTCTAAATTAGACAGCACCAGCAGAAGGATGGATCCTTAAATTATAACTGGGTTTCAAATAATTTGGATGATTTATTTTCCAGATGGGGTGTCTACAAAATAATAGATTAACATGCATGTGGTGGGAACCCATATCCAGTTAATTTGTAAGCCCCACGCCTCTAAAGAAAATGCCTGAGAGAAGAACATCTCAGTTCACCTGTAGTGTTTACTTTGGTTATTCAAAGATACCCCCCACCCCATCCTTGTAGTGGTGCAGATGGAGAAATAAGGGTGATAAAAATCTAAAAGGGGTCTTATCCTTCATGCGCTGGCAGTGCGGCACACCTTATGAGTCAAACTAATACCAGCCACATGCTCATATCGTGACCCATGTTTGAAAGCGGGCCTGTTTTAACAGCTTTTAACAGTCCAACAGTCGCTGCTCTCAAGTTTTGAATCTCCCAGATTGGCCTACTCAAGGGTGGAAAAGTAATTTTCCAGCAGTGGATTGTCTTTTCACTTTCTGTTTTGCTTTTACTTAATATTACTTTTGAAGAATCCCAAAGCAGAAAAAAATAAAGATTATGATGGACAAAATACCAGCAAATCCCTTGCAGTGTAATACCATTTAATCCAATAACACAAACAATGTGTGACCCCAGACTGACCATGTTGGTTTTCTTTAAACAAAACAAAAAACCTTTAAAATGGTAACAGTAATAAATATATACTGTAGAGACAACAGCATGAAATCACACAAGGTATGTTACGTTGTTTTATTGCTGCAAAAGTTTAACTTGAGGAAAACAGACTGTAGAAATATTGTTTTGTGCCTCTTTATCTCACCTGCAAAGGCGTGCTGTGGATTAGCTGAGCATGGGCCACTGGTGATGTATGCAGTTTGAAAATAGGTTATTACTCTGTGCTAACAAAGTGTTTTTGTGCTAGTGGAAGACGCTAAGGGACTTCTGTAATAGGAAAAATAATTGGTTTACCATTGAGTGAAAATTTTATTAAGATGCTTTTTGTAAAAAGAAAACAAGTTTTAGTATCAGCCACCTTTTATTGTTTTAAAAGTAAAATAAGCAAGCTTTTATGTGTCTGTTCAGTTTCAGCCACACTGATCACAGCTTTTAGTCTGCAGTTCTCGTTAACTGCAGCTAGAGAAAAGGAAAATTGGGTGCTTTGGTAATTAAGCATCTGTTTGGTGATCTTTCCTTTTTCAGACATGATTAAAAGCTTTTGGACCTTTACCTATGGTTTTTTTTGTTTGTTTGTTTTCGTTTTGCATTTTCAATTGAACACAGCTCAATTGAACACAGCTCAATGGAGGCATACGCAGACTCTCTGTGTTGTTTCTCTTTGCCTACAACAATTAAGCTTTAAAGTATTATTATTATTATTACCATACTTAATCATCCAAATAAGCTAATGAAAGAAAATTATAGGCCTCTTTGCTTGTCTGGAGAAATTACATGAAAACAAGCAATACAAAACATTTTAATAAAGTGGCACAAAGGCTATAATAGTTTGTGATTACCCCAAAGAAACAATTAAACATACTTTGAGTGAAATGGAAAACATGTACATTTTGAAACACTTATGCTGAGATGTTGTTTTTCTAATCTATTCTGTTCCTGTTCAGGGAATGTGTTGTGAAAGAGCTCTTGATCGACAGGGTCGCATGCCAAACAGTTGTTTTAGTAGTAAAGATTCAGCCAATAGGTGAGGCCAGTGCTTTGCTTTTTTGGGGTTGGAGCTGTTGTCTTTGTTGAAATTTAAATCCCCCCCCCTTTTGTGTAATGGAAACAAGGAAATCCTTATTCTAAAAAAAAAAAAAAAAAAATCATTCAACTTTTGGGTTAAAATTGATGGGAGACACGCATAAATATAAAGCTTATTTTTGGGGGGTATGTTGGAGATGTACGGATTTATGGATGTATGGATATGTTAAAAGATAAAACCTACACAGTACTAAACTTAAGCTAGTTTGCGATGACCATCCCTAGTTGGGCTTTTTCAACACATACAGAAAACATACCATAGTTAGAAAACAACTGATATCGCATAATTTGTGCACCAGCCAGGATTTTGTAATATTTAATTTAGACATTTGTGACAGCTGGGAGGCTGTTTAATCACTGCTAATGAAATCTAATCTAATCAAAGCTCCCACTTGTAGTTCTGATGAGGATTAGCTTCATTTATGAAGATATCAACCAAGTAGTCCCCAACAGTGTTTTTGATTCATAGCATATAAAAAATGTAAGATTTATTGCCAGGATTTTATTGAATTTATGACAGTGTTACAGTTTCTAATATATTCTTTTAACTACTTGAGTTTGGGTTTCAGTGGTTCTTCTTATAATCATTGCTATCACAGCGATTAACACAAATAAAACTTGTTAACTTGTACTTACAACTAGCTAATGATGCATCCTGTTTTTCCACAGGTACATGATGCTCATCAATGGAAAAAATGAGGTTTACATGATCGACAGAGACAACGCCGTCTTCCACATATCAAATCTAGAGTTTCCTTTCCGGAAAGAGCCACGTGTCCACCTATCAAATACTCTGTTGGATGGGGTAAGTTATGCTTCTTGTCCAGTGTCCCCTCCAATTCCAAATTTGCTGTCATCCTGCTCCTGCTGCGTAGTCTTTTTACGAAATTAGAAAAGGCTAATTGACACCAGCTGTCAAACCTGGTGCGAAAGGTGAGCACGTTTCAGTTTGAAACAGCAGACTCCAATTGTACACATTCTGGGGAAAGCACTAATGAAATGTTTCAGTTTTCAGTCTTTGTTCTGCGTTGTGTTTTTGTTGTTGCGCTCTGCTGTGTGCTCAGCAGGGGTCGGTGACTTATCCTTCCACTGTAATGCCAGGCTCTGACTTCTACTGGCGTGTCTGTGCAGCGTGTGTCACGCAGGTCCAAGCTGCACCACTGCAGCAGGTGCACATGTATGAGTCATCATGAAAACATAGGAAACTGCTTGCACGTTCATGTCATCAGTGATTATAAATCTCTGGCAGCCAGACTTTGTTTTTGTCTTTAAAATACTGAAGATTACAAATAAATTGCCTTTCATTCTTTATGTGTTGCTCCTGGCTTTGCTTCGTCAAAGTTTTGAGATTTTATGCAAACACTAGGTTTGCGCTTCCTCTTAGCTTAACAGTTTCTGATTGAGGCGGTGAATTTAAGTTCCTCGCTCAGGCAGGACGTCTAATTGCAGCGTGTTAAGTGTTCCTTTGAAGAAGCTGTGTGGCCGTGTGTTTAGATTGCTGCAAGGTTTGTTTTGACTCGTGTTTATTAATCTGTTGATGCTTCTGGCTCTTAGCTGATAGAGGCTGTATTTTGCAGTTTATGAGGATCTCTTTAGAACCCAGCTGTGTTGTCTGATATTCTTCATCTTTAGCCCAGAGCCTCTGGTCTTTGTCTTTACATGCTGTTTTGTGTTACAGTTTTAATGAGCTTTACATCAACTTGGGTTCCAATTTTGGATGAATGCACAGTGTAGATTGAATTCCTGGCAGTTTCCTTTGGTCACATTAATGTATTCATCCGCTGCTGTCTGTCTGCGCCATGGTTCAGTACACCAGATCCATAATGATGGCAGCAGCCTCCTGGAATTACATCATTTCTCCTCTCCAAATCCTCCTTCAGAGCTGTGCATGCCTTGCATTCACACCTTTTCTCCTCTCCACCAATCTAGCTGTGGAAATTTAGTTGTGTTGTCTGGTCCTTCGCCCTGTGAGATGTGAAGTAAAATTACGTCAGCCAGCAGGGGGAGTTTTTATTGTAACATACTTCAAGTAGTCATTAGGATGCAGGTACTCAAGCAGAAGTTTCTCATCTTGGGAAAGTGGCTGGTAGATGACAGATCTATAACAATTAAAAAAAAAAAATTCCTTGATACACTTTGATTCTTGGAATATATTATTTGCTATTTTAGCCTTCCCCCCCTCTTATTCCCAATCTTTATGCTAAGTAAAGCGTAAAGATTGAAGAACTATTTACGAGACTATGAAACAAATATCTTCAAAGCTAGTAGAGGTTAGTTTCTGATCTCAGTAACAGAAGTTTCATACTTCATACTGTTGGTGTTGTTGATAAGGTACTGTTGATATGAGCCTTTCGGCCTCCAAAAATACTCGTTTTGCGTAATAGCTGTGTCCTTGAGTGATGTCTTACCTGTTACTCGTTTATCTGTCAGGTACATCACTAGAGCACAGTTAGGTGCCTCTATATTTTATGAGGGGCGAGGGGATAAATATAGTTCTCTATACGTAGTGAGTCAGTCTCAAATATTTATCAACTAAAGTATCTTCTTCACTGTTACTGTTGTGTTACTGTTGTGCACATCTTTTAAAACTAATCACGTGTTTCTTATGAGTGTTAACCGTCATGACTGCACCTGACCTCGACCTGACAGCCTTGCATAATAAATGTGCAGTGCTATTTCTGCTTCATGTCCTCCTTGACCACACAGACACACCCATGTGCACGTACTTACACACCACACACCTGGCTTGCTATCTTTTGCACTGCCACAGGCATCTTCCTCTCTCAACATACATCCTCTAGAGAGTTCCCACACTTTCTACATAACACGTTTCAAACAGGCACCTCTTTTATTATGCTGCAATGTTAAGACCTCACGTAATTCAGAACATTTACTTTCTGCATCTTCTCCCCTTTCCTTTGTCGTTTGTCCATCCCCCTTGACCGAATCTTTGTCTTACTCCTTGCAGGAGATGATCATCGACAAGGTGAACGGTCACCCTGTGCCTCGCTATTTGATATATGACATCATCAAATTCAATGTGAGTATGAGAAGGTATCGTCTTTTCTTATGATTTTTATTGCGGAAGAAGTGCCAGGTCAAGATGTCAGGTAGAATAAACTAAAAGGACATTGGATGCATTCTATTAATGTTGCGGTCCGCCTGCAGCTGCTTCTGCCCTCTGCTTTTTTTACTCTTTATTAAAGCAAAAAGGGTTTCTTATTTTGTGGTCTTAGTCGGTAGCTGGTAGCAGGCTGTATATAATCCAAACGGGGGGCTGTATTACGTGAAGAAGCACTGACATGGTTTAGGATTTGCTTATCCCTTATACCTGAAAATTCAAACTCGTGGTTGAGTTCCTTCAGTGCTATAATGCAGCAGGCAGCAGAGCAGTGTTGATCCAGGCTTTGCAGTATTTGCATAGAGATGACAGAGCTTCATCATTCTGCATGCTAAAGGGAAAGCGTGGCTCCGTTTGACCCTGCAACATGTCATGACTAAAGCCTGACCTTAACAACAAAGCTGGGGCTGAACTGCTTTTGACCCATAATTGAATATTTATTAGCAAAGTTTTTTCCTAATAAATTTTGTGTTTTTCTCTTGTACTTTCAGTTGAATTGGTTTTGCCAGCTACACGGACCTGTTTTTGATAACCACTTAGACAAATGTTATTAAATATTAACCTTTAACATTGTCAGTATGATGCATTGTGCAGGATTGACCTGATGAGCAGTCCATTATTTGCTTCAGTGTGGCAGTAAGTGCCTGGTGCGTCTGTGTGTTCTTTTATATGTCTAACAGCATGTTTCTCCTGTTAAATTATTATGACCTTTTTCGTGAACTGCCCGGGAACAATACTGCGAGGCTGGTAACTACTTGCACTCTTTCAAACTCTAAATTTAATTTATCCCTTTAACATGTCTGCATATTGCTAATGGCACGCAGATAGTCACAAACACAAACGAGCCTGCATGTTTACCCTTAGGAGCCCTCTCCTGTCTTCTTTAAAAAGAACTTGATGAATACCTTGGGATGAAGTGGGCGAGGGGGTTACCTCCGCTATTATGTTTCTCTGTCGCCTCCCCTTCTCTATCGATCAGAGGATCACACAGGCAAGCGGCTCGATAGAGGGCTCCAGTGGCGAGGGGGAACGTCTGTGTGAGATGTTGTGGAGGTTAGCAGCACCCCATGACTCCCCACCCCGCTATCAGTAGAGCACTGTATTGATCCTTTCTGGCCTTCTCTATTACCTGGGGTGGGCTGCTCCTTGGTACTGAGGCTTTATCCTGAGATTGAAGGTGGAAATGCAGCAAGGGAGAGAACACAGCACCAGCCTGGCCCATGGCCTAATGTGACCCCCTGCTTATATTTAAAGTTGGGTTGCAGCTTAATAGAGGGATGCTTTTGATTTGAGTCCAAGGAGAAGAATGTTCCCTCTCGCCTTGTTGGGTAATTTCAGGGCATCTAAGGAGTCAGTAAAAAGTTTTACTGACGTTTTGATTGGAAAAACTTTGATTGGAAAAATAGTTGTGCCTGGTTACACTCTGAAAATGACCCCAAGCTAGGGCTAGGGAGTTCTCTTACTTCACTTGTTGTAGATAATTACAAATATTTTTTGTCTTTCTTGAAAGTTGTTGCAGCTTGTCAGTCACTGTCAGCTCCCCCACAGTGGGGGAACAGACAAGACAACAGCATTTACATACGTGCCCCCCAATTTTCTGATTTTTTTTTAAAAAAATTATTATTTTTTTTTTTGAAAGCTGTTATTTTGAAATAAAAGAATGGAGGTTTGCAGTTGACATCACTGCCTATCTGCTGACACTTTGATTGACCTCATTATCTTTTATGCTGCTAAAATAATCTTGCTTTCGGTGCATAAGTAGACAAGATAATTGGCTTAACTTGATAAACGGTTGAGCAGAAAGGAGTGCTTATAGCATTCACCACAGAAATGCTATCTGTCGAGGCACGGGCAGGTTTTACAGCCGTCAGTTCCATTTACTTCTGCTTGAAAAGTTAATCTGCAGGTACAGTCTGTAGCTATTGAATCTGCTCCATCATTTCTTTCAGATCAGCAGAATCAAACTGATAACCTGCAGTCTCCTTTTGTGCAGCTACTTAAAAATTATACTGCATTAACATACACCTTACATCTTTATCAGTAATGACTGTTACTTACAGCAGAAATGAAGAAGTGCAAGTTGCACAGATTAACACAAGACCCAGAGCTGGGTTAGTGTTGGCCTCTAGCTAGTAAAAGCTGCCATTCGATAATCGTGCCTTCTCAGTTGACCTCACGTGCTATAATTTGCTCATAAATCACATCCATTCTGCAGGGAACACAAGCCCTGGCTGCCTTTATTGAGTGTGGCTTACTCAAACAATGCTAATCCACCAATTCATGTTGTTCTACCATGTTAAATACAAGTGGATTATGCAGTATATTAAGAGTAGTCATAATTCTAAATATGTTGTAGAAGTACTTATGAAGTACCTTGCAACCCCTTGTTAAACACAGCAATATGCTTAACTCTTTGCTGTATCTAAGATGCATTTTTTTTCCTGGTTTTGAACTCTGTCTGAGAAGAAAGACAGCATTGCAGTGACTCATAAAGGAGCAGGAACTGTATACTTCAGGGACTCTTCTCGTACACTTGGATAGAATGTCGTCATAAAATCTGGCCTAAGACCTGCCAGTCTACAAATTTAGACACAAATGTATTCCTGAAGCCAAAGGGAGCGACCCCGGCTCTCAGTGATGGAGGTGGATGACAGGAAATACATTTTCCGGAACTGTAAGCTTTTGTGTGTGTTCAAGGTTTAGATCAAATCTGCCCACAACTGTTGAAATGTGAATTTAAAGCCTGAATACTTGCTTCTTTATATATCAAGTGTTCGCTCATTAATCCGACTGCTTCTAGTCTCAGAAAAATATATAGAGAAAAAAATAGAGAAAAAGTGTTATTCTTCCTCCTTAAAATCTAACTGATGCACTGTATTAGCAGTAACTGATGTTGCCTGTTAAAATAATAGCTTGCTCCAATAGTGCTGTTGTCAAACAGGATGCCGAACAGTTTTAGTCCAAAACATCCTGAAAGCCTCTGTTTTTATTACGAATATCCCGAGGGAAGCTTGGCATTAAACTTGCTTTGACATCTCTTATTTTGCCACCGATATATAATGTAATTTATCCCAAATTATCTGCTTTCAACAGGATTTCAAACACTTTCACTGTTTTTGCTGTATTATTTTAGCCTTGCCAACCTCATGCTATTATCCTTTATTTCTCATTATATTGTTCTCTGGTGTTTAAAAGTTAATGCGTATATATAAACTGCTCAAAAAAATAAAAGAACACATTTTAATCAGAGTATAGCATTGAGGCAGGCAACCTCTGGGGTATTGCTCTGTCAGTTAAGTAACAGAGGGGTTTGTAAATCAGTTTCAGCTACTACCAGGTGCACTAGAGTAGCAACAATGAGTCAACCCTCAAAACAGGAATCTTTTTACAGGTGGAGTCCACTGACAGTTTTCCATCCTCGTCCTTAAAAATTGTTTTTTTCACTAGTTTTGCATTTGACTAGGGTTAGTGTCAATACTGGTAGCATGAGGCTATACCTGGACAATCTGCAGGGGTTGCATAGGTAGTCCAGCTCCTCCAGGATGATGCATCAATGCGTAACATTGAGAGAAAGTTTGCTCAAGAGTGTGGAGGAGATTCCAGGAGATGCGCAGCTACTCTCGAAGAGGGCAGGGCTTTAGAAGGTGCTTGACGCAGCAGCAGAACCGGTATCTCCTTCTTTGTGCAAGGACAGCAGGATGAGCACTGCCAAAGCCCAACAAAATGACCTTCTGCAGGCCACTGGTGTGAATGACCAAACTATTAGAAATGGACTTCATGAGGGTAGCCTGAGCATCATCCATTATTCCTTTAGGGGCATTCTCAGGCATGGATATAAGGACACATGGTACAAATACCATTTTTGAGCTGCTGCAATGAAATTTTGGCAGAATGGTGTAGACTCATCAGTTTTTCTCTTTGATTTTCTGGGTGTTTTCAAATTTGGGCTTCTGTAGGTTTTTATTTCCATCAACGTGGCATGCTTTCATTCTTTACATTATCCAGTTCATGTCAGTATAAATGTACAGCATGATTTCTTTTTTCTCCCCCATTGCTACTCTAAACCATGGTTGTTATTGTGACAGCAGTATCAATATAGAGGATATCATAAGTGGCATATTTGCATTTATGATATTCTCTGTGACAGATCAACCCATGGAGTCACAGCCTGAAATGATATTTAGCCCTAGAAATGTTTGGTTAACAGGGTTTTTGTCTGCTGTTTCCCTCTTAAACAGTCGTGGACAGCACATGCCTTGAATCATCCACACTTACATCTTGTTCTGTCCCGATGACACGGCTGACAGATGGTGCCGAATGTGTGGGACATGATACCAGCTGTTGCTCCAGGAGGATGTAGTGCGGTTTTGCAGTCACCCTAAAAGAAAAAGAACTCTTCAAAGAAATGTTTAAACAAGAGTATCTTGAACTTCAATCTGTCTGTGACCTTATTTGAAGTTCCCAAATTGCCCTTATAACATTGTTAAGGCTACATTAAGCAAATTGGAGAGTCTATCACAAGGACACAGCATGACTGGCTTCTCGTTTCTCAAGTTATGGTTAATCTGTTTGCAGACAGTTGGCAACTTAAGCATCCTGCAGACACAGATCAGCATGGGCATCCTAATAAAGTCGCATCCTGATGAATGCAAAGCCAATATTCACTTTATTTCGATTTATTTATTTTTATTTAGTTTCCTGTTCTTAGCTGACAACAGTGATATCTGTAGCACCTGTAGCCTTCTGCTGCCGCAGCTCATCTGCTTCATGCTTGGATGTGTTGTGTGTTCAGAGATGCTTTTCTGCATACCTTGTTTTTATCGAATGTTTTTTTTTTGTTGCCTTTGTGTCAGCTTAAAGCAGTCTGACCTTTTTCCTCTGACCTCTGACATCAACAGTGTATATTTTCTCTTTTTCAGAGCATTCTTTGTCAATCCTAAATATGGTTGTGAAAAAAAAAAAAAAAATCTCAGCAGTTTCTAAAATAATTAGAACACCAACAACCATGCCACATTCAAAGTCTATTAAACCATCCACTCTGTTGAAACTTCAGCAGGTTGTCTTGACCATGTCTACATGCTTAAATGCATTGAGTTGCTGCTATGTGATTGGCTGATTAGGTATTTGTTTTGGTCATGAGCCATACCTAATAAAGTGGCCAATAAGTCTACGTACCATTAAGTGGGTCAGATTTTACCTGTATTTCTAAAGGCATACACACATAGTGTAAGGGTGTGTGTGTGTGTGTGTGTGTGTGTGT